AACTGTGTAGTTAAGTAGGTAGTTAAATCATTTATTGGTGAACATAATAGTATAACATCTATTATATTTATATAAAGTCACTGGTGACCATTATAATTTATCAACATTTTCTCGCATAGTTGTATCAATTACGCTTACATTACAATTTGTATTATTGAAGCTATTCAATTAATTACTACTACTGCTGTAGGTATTCATTACGTATTCTATGTAAAACGTTCTTAAGAAAATTGATTTAACCTACTGGAGAGTGGAAACTGAATATTATGGTAGTAAAAACGTCTAAAAAGTAAAAACTATAATTAATTGTTTTTTTTTCCAATGCATTCATACAAATCGTTTTCGAAGTTTACATTTCAGATAGGTAAATAAATTAATGTGTTGTATATTAATTTATTTACCTATTTACCAGGTAAATAGGTAAATAAATTAATGTAAAACATAACAAATAAAACGTTAAGAGAAAATATAAATATATTAGTATACAATGTACCAGTTACCTGCCATACAGAGTGCCTACTATACATTTGTTCAGATATTTGCATTTCGATAAGTACCTACACGTGAACAAAATTACAGGGCATCCCTGATTGTTATCTTGGTAAAATTCTTTTCTTCCGTATAGTTTACATAGATTTGTTTTAGATAGACGCTAGTGATTTAAACTTGAATATAAACAATTCCCACGATTCTTTGTAATTCATCAGATGAAATAAATAATATATGTTCCTGTGTGCATATTTAATGTGGGTATGAACTATACCGAAAGGTTAGGTACCTACTATTATTATTAATACTACTAAAGAATAAAAGTTTCTTTTAATTGAACAGTTAATTTATAAATTATAAATAACAAAAATAATTATAGTTGGAAAACTAAGTATAACACAATTCATATAAGTAAAATAGCTGGTGGCTATACTATATAGCTGATAGTTTAGTAACCTGCAGAGATGCACGTGTAGTATAGTTAACTATTTAATCAAATTAACTTTGATAAAAAAAGTGTTGTTGAAGTTCAGAAATGTATGAGTATACTATTGGGAACTACAAAAAATGTAATGCATTATATAATGATCATGTGAGGTATTATTTCACATTAATTGTTTCTCAGGATTTTAAATTAGACGAAAATTCGTATTTCACTGTGTGTTGTCGACTCGTCTGTGCGACGCGACGTCCGGTCCGCAGCCATTGTGTTAGAGTAAACAACATTATTTCTATGCCCATAATCGGTATTATATATATAGTATATTATTATGTGTGGTGACCATATTATATTGTTATAAAAGTAGGTACTTATTTTAATAGGACAGATGATAAATTTGTATCATAAACGATTGGGATTAGTGAATTTAAACGTAAATGTAAGAATATGCCATATGCGTACAGTGTACTTAATTTTAAATTTCTAACATCGAAGTTGTTGTAAACAGATTATTATTATACAAGTATAATTGTATGTATAAGAAAATTTACAACTCTAGTAACCTAATAAATCACTCTTGGGTAATTGACGTGTTGAATAAGCATTGAAAAAAGTCAAATTTTACATTAAAAATATTAAGGGACTTTTGTTCATACTTAATAGTTTGTTACCTATAGAATATGTTATTTTGAATAAATGACTGAAACTGAAATATAATATAATATAGAATAAAGAATAAAGATGTTAAGATAACCTATACACATGTAACGTGGTATAACATGATATTATTTTCAAATAAAAAAATGATTTAAGAAAATTGTGAATCTGAACGAACAAAAGGTCCATTTTTATAATAATTATACTAGCTTAATAACCCAGATTTTCCAGCGCGTGTACAGTTCTTTTGTGTTAAAAATTGTTTTCTATTAATTTGTATACTACAGGTAGAGCAATGATCACCATAATTATTATTATTATTATTATTATTATTTATTAAAACCTTATACTCTCTAAGCTTTTCTGACATGTGTAAAAACAATCAAATTTTCGCCCGATCGAGTAGTTTTTGAGTATATAAACTACAAATTTGAATTGACTTTCGAGGTATAGTTTTTTTAAATTTATACCATGACGCAAACGCTACGATTTGATGTATGTATGCGTGTACCTGGTCTGCCCGAGTAACCAATGGCAAATAAACAAAAAAAAAATACTAATTTCTTCTACCTATATATTACTATTATCATCGGCGATCGATAGGAACCATTTAAAAATAAAAAAACATTTTAATTCCTACTGTGAATCTCAAAATCCCTGTTTACCTAACCTCTTTACTATGCGAATTTCGAAAAACAATTTTTTCAGTGCGTCTTTACACCATACAACTCCTGGCCAAATATCATACACCTAGCTTCGATGGTTTCGGCTAGGTGATGATGAATCAGTCAGTCAGGATAAGTTTTTTTATGTACATAGATTAATACACATTGGTATAGACAAATGTTTTTAAATGTATGGTCAAGTAATAAACCTTTAAAACTATAATGGTATAAAGTTATAGATATAATGGAATTATGATTATGTTGTACAGTCATACCTACAACCTAACTCTTTTCATGTCTTACTTCTATGTAGATCGGAGGCCGTCGACCTATTGTTTTGTAAAGACGTACCGGTCCGAAACGAATGATATTATTATTAATATTACTTGGTACGAGTTCGTAAACGGTAAGGTCCGTATATTATATTGTTATTATATCATATTATTAATATGACGATATTCCTTGTGGTGCATTATTCGTATCACGTTCAGGCGCGACGACCGTTGCCAAGAAAACGTACCTATCACGTCGTCATAATGTCCGCGTTTGCATATAATACGGTTCGTGCGTTATAGTATTACTCATATAGTTTTCTATGTCTTAGGCGAAGGGAACAAAACGTAAATTATTGTCATTCTTCGGCGCCTCCACCACCACGCCATTTGACATGGTCCAAGAAACGTTCCTGTTCCTCTCCGCTGCCGCCACCATAGTGTTCGTCGGGTTCGTTCGGTCGGACTGTAATTTTGGCGATTGTCATCGACGAGAAATATGCGCAGACAGGCCTTGGGCCGAGTCACGGGGCGAACGCAACGACGATCGAGTGAGAATCGTAGACGCGCCTCTGGGCTCGGATATAGTGTTCCTGTGCAATTATTGCGGCGAAAGTGATAAGGGCCAGGCCCGGTTTTGGTATACTTCGCACAGGTATAATATAAAATTATTGTGACGACATTAGTGCAGTACCTATAGCTAAGCTTCAGTCGTACGCAGAACAAGTGCCCCGATAAGTTTATATACCTATGTAGTCACCTGATGACCGTGCGCAAGTCTACGGGTGCACTACGAAAAAATACGTCAATACGGAGGGTCAAAGATTGGAAATCAAAAAAGTCTCAACAGCAACAAATATTTTCGGGATCAGTATAGTTTTTAGAAACCATCTAAGTTTTTGGAAACTATTTTCCCAATTACAATCAATAAATATAGTGTTCGTTTATTAACCATAGGAATCGAGGATACTATACTGTACCTATATCGATATTACCTAGTAACTACCTACATATAGACATTATAATTGTATGCAGGATATAATATTTGGAAACGTCGTAATCATAAATCATAAATTGATATAAAAACACATTTGGAGAAAGAGTGTATGTATTTTGAGAATGAAGTTGACACCTATTACTGAACGTCCCCCCCCCCCTATGATTTGCAAACCTAAAATACCCACTGATGTTGATGGTACCTGAATTTGCTTGTGATATATTTTCTACCAAATTATTTCCTAGACATATTATAATAATATAATCCCTAAAAAGTTTCCGTTTGTCTCGTGTTATCATAAGTTATGAAATCGGTTATATTGTATAATAATTTTTTGATTTTAATATCTATTGTTTTCGGCCGTGGTCGCTATTGCGGCGATATAGAATGCTGTACTCGAACCGCACTACCGCGGGTCGGAAAGAAGTGGTGCTGGGTATGTCGGACCCGATGGAGTCAAACCGGGTGTACATGATGCCCGATCATCGTCTGGTGGTCCGGAACTTGACTTCATCCGACACCGGCCGGTACTCGTGTTCCGGTCTGGAGACTGACGAACGCGTCGAGTTTGCTCTCGACCTACTGCCGGCGAATGCGGGGGGAGCGGTTTCTGCCGATTCGATGGCAGAATGGACGCATTACGAGTCGCGGTACTTGACGCCCATCGCCAAGGCTTTCCCGAGAGTTCGGAAAATAGATGCGGACTGGGATGCATGGGGACCGTGCAACGGGTGTGCGGGAAAGCGGTATCGGAGGGCAGCTTGTCGGGTCCGTTTCGACGACGATATTCGCATGGCTTGCAGGTAATAGTTATAGTGACAGTATACAAGTTAGACTGTCCACTTTCGCAATAAATTCTTTTCCGAACAACTGGAGAAGAAAAAAAAAATAAAATTCCATACAAAATAGATTTTAAAAAATTCGGTTCTAGTTAAAAATAATACCGTTGGAATTCTACCAAAGTATAAAATATAATTGTAATATTTGAAAAAAAAGATTTTATAAAATCAGAATTTCGACATCATGGTAAAATCATAAACAACTTCCCGAGTAATGTGGCCAGTGAAGAGCTCGTATGTTATATAATAGCATTGATAATAACTTTTGATTTTCCTCATTGTGATTTTTCACGGTGCATACAAATCAAGCAATTATAGACCAAACAAAATGCCTGTTTACAATTATTATTTGGAGCTTTCAGATCGATCGGGTTACCCGCTGCGGAAATGGCAGTTTCGCCGGGTCTAGCTGCTAAGCTGTCCACGGTGCCCGACTTTTTGCTATCCGAAACATGTTACGCCTACTGTCAAATATCGAACAGGCACAGACTTCCCAAATACAGGAACACGTTTGTGCTGGAGGAAGGGTCCAGTTTGACATTAGTGTGCGCCGAAGCGACCTTCGATAAAAAGGTACAATATCGACTTAAATCCCTTCGACTTATGAGCTGGGTAAAAAACCATATAGTTGGTTTGATTTGATACAGAGCGTAAGGTGGCGTTGTCCAGAGATGGGATTGACATCGTAAATTATTATCGCACCGCTTCGAAGTTATAGTTTCTATAATAAAGTGAATTGATTTTACTGAGTTATCATGCAATGGCAGCGAACATGATGTTATACCTAATTATTTCTACCTTACACCGTAATAAAATATTAATTATTTAATATTTTAGTCAGTAAGCTGCCTGTATGACAATATAACATATTTAATATCTATTCACTCAAGTTGTAAGATTGTAGGAACGTATACTAAACTAAAGAATCACATTAAAAGTAGACGGAAAATTAGAATATCTGAGAGTTATTCAAACGGCAAACGCATAAATTTCTTCACTGCCTAATTTTTATTAAACAATATCACCGCCGAGCGTCTATAATATTGTTTAATAAGTTAAAGTGGTAATCAAAATTAATTTAGCCACATTCTGGTATAACAAATACTGCGGAAAACTGCTCAAAGAGCTGCCTGCATTCTTCGCATTATTATTATTATTATTTTTTTATAAATATTGGTCAAAGCCGTCACCGCACACACTTCGTTTGTCGTTAAACCGCAAAAATCTAACGATTCAAAATAATAAATGCTTAATCATAATAACGGAAACACGGAGTTATTGGAATGTATTGTAATACATGACGAACAGCGAAGACAATACTATACGCTTAACAGGGCATCCCATGTAATTATCACTCAAATACAAATAAAAAAAAATTATATATTCAAACATAAGTAATGTGCAAAGTGCAAACCCTAAGTTGTAAGTACTTTCATATTTGATATAATTTTGTTATTGATTATTGATTACTTATTAGCACCACATTTATATCAAAATCTTTAATATTTATTTTGATACCTGATAATTGTTCCTTCTTTTGTTCATGTGACAATCCAAATTTGAATTGTTCTAATTAATAAAATACACATTACGCGAGGACGTAAAAGTCTTAAAAACTTAACTTACCAAAAATGAGTGGTACTTGATGTATTGTATGTAATCGTTTGGTTTAATTTGTTATGCCATGAACCATGGCCATCCTTTACTCAATTGGTAGTTTTGTAACGTTAGTCATGAGTTATGAAATTTTTGAGGTTTATACAATTATAATCGCAACTAAAATCCGAGGGTTTTATATATTAGATACCCATTTATATAATTATCAATAAGTATAGCTTAGGCTGTTCATAATATCAAATATTATGGTATAGGTACATTGAAATGACTGCAAAATATCGTGATTCATTAATTTTTCAATCTCCAACGTCTTTCGATTCGCTTCTCTTTATGGGTCAGGTGACGTGGAGGAAAGATGGACTTATGTTGACCGAAACCGAGTCGACCGCCGATGACACATCAGGAGCGTTCCTGGACACTTTCGGGACGTTGTACTTGATCAGACTCACTGCCGACGATTCCGGCAATTACACGTGTTATGTAGACGGTAACCGAACTCAAGAAGTGCTGTTGTCCGTCAGCAAGTCGTCATTGCTCAGGTCGAAAGCCTACGCCCGTCACCTAAACTATTTGTACTACGTGTTTGCGATGTATTTCGTAGTTTTCGGCGCTCGGCTCTACTACGCTTTCCTTAATCGACGCAATTTTTTGAAGATCACCGACAACGACGTCCTGAAACCCGAAATTCCCACTGTTTATCTGGGAAGAAAAATTAGGATCCGTTGATAGCCCCGTATTCATGCGATTAGGTAATTATAATAAAAGATAATATATATTTATATTATTTTTGAACGTCTTGAACCTACTGTGCATGTGACACGCTGGACCAATAACATTTACACTTCTGCTTTTTTTTCCTTGTCACACATTGTTGTAGATATATCTTTTCTGTGCAGATTTAAAGCCGACATAGTCTATCAGGTATCAAGCTTTGTTATTTTTATGTATTTTTGTCGGATCAGTATTTTATTGTAAGTATCTAAATATTCTTGGTTGTCTTTACCTATAAGTTATACCGAAGCTTATGAATATTGTGTGGGCACTCTATACACTATTGTACGATTAAAAAAGTATATTATGTATTTAATATTTTAATAGGTACATTTATGTATACATTAATTTTCAAATAAAAATTAAAAAATAAAAATTCTCCAAAATAAATACTTGAGAATAGTACTAAAAACCCTTTTGATCATGCGGAGGAAACATCGGTAGTAGATAGCACTCACATAACGATACGGGATTACTTTACCTAACAACGAGGATATTTATTAATCAATTCAAAGACTTCAAAAATAATCTAAATAAAACCGAAATAGCTCTCCATTTCAAAATCAGTGAAAAATATCCGAACCCATGCTGAAATCATGCCTTTCATCTTCCTACAGACCAATCAGACCTCTAATAATCAAATTAATTTTTTTTGTTTTATGTACCTAGGTCACAAAATATGCCTAATGTATACATTATAACTATATAATGACCTATCTAGGTTTATAAATATGTAATAATGTTGTAGTATTAAAACATTGTTAAAAATTTGAGTTTGTGGACAAAATTAAACAAATACAAAAATAAAAATGTTTATTGCACAATGTTTAATAATGAACTCAATGTATTTACCTACAGTTTTAATTTGTATTCCAAGTGAAATATATAAGCATTATAGGTACTTTGCATTACTTTTTAGGAACCTATACCATTCTTTTAATTGTATTTTTATTAATCAGTAATAGTATGGAAATTCATTGGTTTTATTCAATAAAACTATTTAACAAGCCTACCTCGACAAATCTCCAGTATTAGTCTTCATTAAGTAATTTACTGTTTTTATTACTTTTATTTAAAACTATTTTAAAATAATACAACCGGTTTTTATGGCCGTATACACCCTCGATAGACATAAATTATGATTTGACTCAAACCATATCTTAAATAATACAGGTTTACTAGTACATACCCCGAAGACCACGTCGTCGTGTGCGTCACAGGTGTCCCAAGCCCTTCGGAAGACGACGGATATATGAGAGCCATTTTGGAAGGAAGCCAGTAACTCGTAGTCCTGGCTCACATCCTTTTCCGGTGTTAGACCTGTTTCAGTTTTGCCATGCATATCCTGTGTAACAAAAAAAAACCACATGGTTTCATTAATATTGCGTGACGCATTTAAAAAGAGTTATAAGTACTAAATATTTAATTTTATTCCCATAATAATACTATTATTATGTTAAAATTAATACTTTTATTTATAAATAATCTGTTATTCCTATACAAAAGGTGTATCATATACATCTATTTCCAATATCCTAAGACAATAATAATAATTTTTTATAAAAACTATCTAACCGTAAATTATTTCTATGAGTCCAACTATTAGCTGATATAAGCAGTAAAAATCTATTTTAAAATGTAAGAAAACAATTATATACCTATAACAAGTTATATTTCAAAAAGGTTTACGCTGATTAGGAACAGTAATCATATTATCATTATTACATTAGTAGGTATCTAAAAGAAATCGATATTCTTCTCAACAAATGTATTTTATTTAAAATAAATTAGTATAGTATTTCTATACTCCGATTATATATATTATATGCTACACCTAATTATGCTAATCGAAAAGCATGTTTAAGCTCGAAAACATAAAATTGGTGAATCCCACGCAAGCTACTGAAGACTGAACATACAGTATTATTATCTGTTTGATATCAAATACATATTATTATATTATTTATAATAATACCTTATTTTAAAGTCGATTCGTAGATAGTAACAATAAGTGTTTATAATTTATATGGCAAACATATGCTATTATTAATGTTCATAATTATACTTAATGATATAGGGTGGTACATCACAAGACTAGGAATACAATTAGAACAAAACAGGAATTTAAATATTTTGCCATTCTTACAGTTTACATTTAGAAAACTATACAGACAACAAAAAACCCAGGTGTACTTACTTGATGTTTGGCCGTTATTCTTAACGGAAAGTAAAAACTATTAATTTCGTTTGGTTGAAGTATCATATCACTTTATTCTTTTTATTTGTGTTACATTTTAGTTAATAATCTTTTACATAGTATTGTAGTATATAACAGGTATATTACTCTATTACAATAAAATTAACTACTTATATATTTGTTTAAGCATAATTATAAATTATAATTAAAACAAATGGAGAGTTTGAATATGTATTTGATATTTTTTTTTGCAATTTACTTCTTATTATTGGTCCTTATTAAACTTTTACTTTCAATACGAAATTTGCTTGTATATAACCGACCGTTGGTTTTACTCTTTGAATTGTTATTTATATACAGATTATTGGCTATATGTTACAAATATAAATAAGGTACACCACGGTCGCATAATGCACATAATAAATATATTTTTACGGTATCGACAGTATAGACACTCGTCGATTTTTTACAAAAAATATATGTATTACATAGTACTTGCATTCAAACAAATTTAGTATGTACCAACTTAACAGTTATATCTATGAACTTTTAGAATTTACAGCTGATATAATTAAATGCGACAATTTATAAATACGAATACAAATAATAAACATAGATTATTGTACATTTGACTTATTACGTATTAGTTATTACTTATTACATAGTTACTTTCAAATTAATAACTATTAGATATAGCAAATATTATTTACAATAGATGACTTTTTACAGTAACCCTGTGTAGTATAGTTTAATGTATGTAAGATTATCTTGAGAGATTTCTGTTTTCAAACAACGAAGTTATGAGGAAAGAACCATTGTTTTCAAGAATAATTTCTCATATACCTAAACATATAGTATACATTATGTACCCAATTTAAAGTAATAATAATAAGTAATAACAATAATAAAAAAAACAACGAATTCATTCAAAACATTAATACAATTATATAACTTTTCTCACGAGAAAAAGACCCCAGGTAACGCGATCGAAAAATCTCGTGGGAACTGTTAGGTTTAGGATAAACCAAAACCAGTTACATTGAAAGGGATCAATGAATGTTTACTTTGTCAAGCGACGCCGCGTTGGTAGGTTCTGAGAGAATTCAGTGTACCTTTATAGTATATAGATATACTTTTTAATCAGATAAAGCTCAAGTTTTAACATTATCGTAAAAACGACTATATTAACATATCGTATTTGAACTTCATAAAAACATTTTTCTTATTTCAAGTTTTTTACACGTCTAAGAAGAAGGTTATAAATATATTTTATGAATTTTATTTATCAGATAAGTACCTATGTAATATTTATACATTGTTCTAAATTAAAATCGACAATTGCCCCATATTAACATTTACAGTAAATATAGGTATGTTATTATAGGTACTGAACAAATTTAGACTGATACGCCAATACGAAATTCTTATAATAATATTAATAAAGGTATAGCCTTAACGTAAACTATTCTCTGAATGAATTTGATACTTGTTTAGTTATATTAATGATGCATTGAAAGTATATAAAAACTAACGTAGCTTATACATGTTACAAGCAAACGTGTTTTGACTGAAAAATAGTATACTCGAAAAGTTACCGGACGTGATTACATCCAGCACCTGCTCATCGGATGGCGTTGATGTTCCACGAGACTGGCGCGTGCCCTTTTCAAAACCACCATTAATACACCATGACGAAAAAACAAGTGGTTATTTTTTTCTCACTAATAATAACAATCAAAATCCAGAATAATAATAACAATACGAATCCAATGTCCTCCGGGTCGATGGAAACTATATACTTGCTGGACAGTGTTTATACTTTATACTACAGTCATCATGTTCACCCTATATGAGTATTATTTTGTTAGAAGCGTGCAGTATATGGCGTAAGGTAGGTTGGGCTGCAGATATCGCGTTCACTTCCGGACGCATAAAAATCGTATAGGTACCTACCTTAAATTATATAGTAATATTATTTATTATTATTATTATTATTTAACAATAGCCGAGGAGACTGACGTGGTCTGACACACGTGGTTACGCTTAAATCACGTTTGTAGTTTTTTTTTCGTCAAACAACCATCTCACGAAGCTATATCACAGAGTATACCTGCCTGTAGACGGGTTATTGCGACAGCGTACTTGTAATGGTTTTAATTTGTTACTAGGCACATTATTCTGGAAAACCACAAGATACGCATCCTTTCCATAGCGATGGTTTTAAGTTAAAAAATATTATAACATGCGTATTATACTCTTATAATAATTAAAAATTCCAGGTTTTTTTCTAATTACAACCGCAGTACCTGCCTACCTATTGTGTGAGTTAGATTTTAAAGTTCAAACCGAATTTATTATTATTAGTATTTTTTCCAATCATATTATAATACTATATGATATTTTCCTACGGTTTATATTATTATATCGCGCAGACCACGCGATATCGTCTGAAGGTGAGTCGGCGACGATAGGACAATTAAATGAGTCTCACGATGACAACGTTTTACGATCGAGCAGGTGCTGAGCATATTATACAGTTGGGCGGGGGCTGTTTGGATCAAAAGAATGTATCGCGGTATGCGGGAAAGCCATGATATCGCGTGAAACAGCTCGGAGATTGTGTTATATACTGAATAAATGTATAATACTATATACTTAAAGTATTAAAAAAAAAATGGGATGGAATTGAGAATTAAAAAAATATATTTCACAACCTGTTTATTTTTTAACTCAATATACCATATTATATATTTATATGGTTATGTTTCATTAAAGCTAACATGAAATCAATTGTTTGGTAATGAATGGATTGTAATAATAATAATAGTATTCTATCGATTTGTGCCTCATGTAATCGACGAAATAATATTTGTATTAATTATTAAGTATCTAGATACTGAACATATTAACATTCGACTTCGTCGTAGATTACACGTTATAGTTTATATACATATAGTTCTTTGTCTAAATATAACTTCTTAATATATAAATATCTCATATTATACTATTTACGATTAAGAAATTAGAATTTTAAGCTCAAAAACGATCAAAGCATTTTTTATTGTATATTTCGTATAACGGAGATTGTCTAACTTTGAGAAAATTAATATTTGAACGGTCTATACTATACTTATGAATGTTTTACTATGTGGTTATGCACAGA